GTGCCCAAAATCTATTTAGGCCAATGACGGGGGCTCAGAAGCTCAGGGCAGCTTACCACTCAATACGTCTGACACAGACTCCCGCGTGCCCTCCTGAAACATTACTCTACTTTTTTTGCCGGGATACATTTGTCCAAAAGAATTCCTGCCTAAATATGGATTCTTTTGAACAGACATGTGACATTTCAAGGATGCTTTGTTATTTAAACAGCAGATTTCTACCCAATAGTCTTCAAAATGTGCTTGTTTGTTTATATTTTCACTAGGGATGTCCCAAGCTAGTTTTTTTATGCCCCGGTCCGATCCGAGTCATTTAATATCTGTCAATACAGAGTCCCGATCCGATAGATAACACAGTGCACATTGCACACTTCAGTCATTAAAATCATTCCAATGTAGTATATGCGTGACAATTAAATAGCACTGCATTGCATCAAGTAGCATCGGATCGGCTCAATAAAACTCAGTAGAGCCGGTACTGATTGTATCGGAACATCCCTAATTTTTGCTGCTTAGGTCATATTTCTGTCGTTTTGGACATCATTCCGATCAGTGGAGGTCATATTTAGTTTAATAGTTGAACCTTTTGGGAAATACTTTATTCACTTTCTTAGAGTTCACAGAGTTAGATGGGAAAATCAATTCCACGTATATCTGTGTGGTAAATATTAAATTACAGCCAGCAGATGGTTAGCGTAGCATAAGCATAAGCTAAGCTAACGACAGGTAAAAAGCTAGCTAGCTATTTGTTACCTTTACTAATGTGCAAAACTGACAAAGGATGACAGGACTCCAGAAAGTCCCTGTTGTCAGATTTTTTCAAAATTTTGGACATAGAAAGCGTTTCCCCTCTTTTTTTCCCAGTCTTCATTCTAAGCTGGCTTCATATTTACCATACAGACATAAGGGCGGTGTCAATCTTCTCATTTAACTCAACAGGAGAGTGACTTAGCATAGTTCCAATAATGTCCAACAAATTTAGTTTAACAACATGAGAAGACTTCACAGGTTAAAAACCAATTCCCAGTATTGATTAAAGGGGTAAATGAGAGTGGATGTTGATTTTCATCCAAACTGTTTTCCTGGTTCACCTCTAACCTGATACATACAGCGGCCAAATGTGTGGACACCATTGTCCACATAATCTTATGTGCTTTTGGTCTGGGGCTGTTTTTCATCGTTTGGGCCTGGCTGCTTACTTTCAAAAAAGTAAGTGGGGTGTTCTCGGTCTGCAGTGGTCAGTACCTATCAAATGGTCCCCAAGGAAGGAAAAGAACCAGAGACAGACGTTACGCCCTGTCTAGGGGAAGGACGCCACATAAATGTGTGATAATAAATGAACCAACAATCCTACCCGATTCCCAAACAAACAACTAACACAGTGTTAACAATAATGATGTGATTTATTTACAAACAGGTAAACAAAGTGCAACAAAAACCAACTAACAAACTTCAGGGTGACCAAGGCCAAAACAACAAACAAAAAGAGCTAACCAACAGAACAAAACCTGGACTAATCCCTATTTTAATAAACAAAATACAGTTACTAAACCTAACTCCTAACCTAAAGAAAAACAGGAGAAAAACAGTAAAAGAAAACGGCAGCTCACCCCTACGATACTCACTAAACACAATCATACAAAACACTATCAACTAAGATCTTAACAATTCACACTATCGCAAAAACACACTCTACAACCGAGGACAGAAGGGATGCTGCTGCTGAAGTTCTGTCGAAGGAACTTCTGTGCGGTGCGGCGTTTGAACCCCGGCGGATGTTTGCGGCTCCCTGGGAGAACCAATCAAGCAGGCGCACTCCACAAGCCGAGCCCACGGCATGGCACAGTCAGCAGCTGACCTACGGGTTGCCGCAAAGATCTTACAATCGACAGGCTGCACACTCCTGCAGAGAAACAGGGACAAAAAAACACCAACACACACCACAGCGAAACAATACTAATATTAATACAATACCAGGGCCGTGAACAGGGGCAGGACTGCCAAGGCTCAATTGATGCACGTGGGGAGTGAAGGCTGGCCGTGTGGTCCGATCCACAGACATCAACTACTGTAGCTCAAACTGCTGAAACAGTTATGATGCTGTTTCTGAATAGAAATGGGGTCAGTAACACACAGTGTATCACAGTTTTGTTGGATATGGGGAACATTTTGCGCACCAGGGTGCCATGCAGTTTGGCTGATTTGGTGTTATATCAGTGTAAAAGGACTAAAAACATATTCATTAATGATAACAAGATACTTGTTAGACTAGAAATGCTCTCTAGACCTCCACCAAGGAGGCGCTCTTAAGAGTGATGGTGCAGATCTGTAATTCTGGAAACATGGCTGCAGAATGCAGGAAATAGTAAATCAAACTTTTCCAAAACCCCCCCCCGGGGGTTTTTTGATTACTATTATCAGCTTCACCGTTATTGGTCATGTGACAGCTGTATTACCTTGGTGGTTAAATGTGGTTCAATACTATGGGGTCAAAGAATTACTGGGGGCCAAAACTAATTATTGTGGTTTTATTAGAGTAAAGTCAAACAATAATGTTTGTCTTTTTTCCATCATTCTGTGAGCAACTGTGCATCTGTTTTTATCCTGCACAGTCTGAACAGTGATCAGTGAAGGTACTTTAGTTACCTGCTGAGAGGTTATCAAGGTTGTGTGCCTGCAGCTCTTCATTCCTAACAGTTCACTGTGGCTGCAACTTTTACTGGTCTCATTAACTCCCTGCAGTATTTCAAACCTTGATACGCTCTCAAAGAATGTCCAAAAGCCGTGTGTCTTCTTTGGTTAGACATTATTTTGGATGTAACGATAGCAGTCAAGTGTACGTTGTGTTTTGCTATTTAAATGCTTTTTAATGTGAAGCTGTGTTTGCATTAGCAGAAATTAAATACTACCTTTCTCTGGGAATTTTGGTACAGATACCCAGTGTGTAAATCACTGTAAAATACACAAAATACTGAAATAGGTTCATTTAGTGGCCATTGTGGCAGCCTGGATGGGAATGCTTTCGCGGGCTGCGAGGTGAATACTTCTGCTGTAGTCTCTAAATGTAACAGAAATGCAGGAAAAGGGCAAAATGCAAAATGTTCTTTTTCCTATTTTTCTGGAGAAGACAACCAGACCCTGTGCTATTCTGTCCCACCCCCGCTATAATCATCTTTGTAAAGCATTTTTCTGTTTGAAATTGTTTGCATTTTGGAATTTCAGGTCACGGCTTACCTTTTAAGAAAAGGCTAATCAACAACCTGTGTTTCTTTTCCCAGTAAAAGCGGGGGTAAAAAAAATTCCCTCCTGGGTTCATGACGGCTTTGTGCCTCTGTACTGTATGTGTGATTGAGTAGCGAGCCGCTGGCTGCCAGATCTTTTTGGGATCTGCTGGAGTCATTGAATTTTCAGTCCAGTTCCTCACAATGTGCATTACACGTGGCATTTCCAGGAGGGGAGAGGAAACCAGGCTGCCCGCCATAACCCCGACCTCTACCGGGAGGTTTCATTATTTATGATAAGCCTACATTTCCCCCGGCTTGTTAGTAATAGAAATGAAAGCTCATTTGGAGAAAAGAGGGAGAGTTTCCACAGGGGCCTCCTCCTCCTCCACCTCCTCCTCTATATTCGTCGGGATGAGAGTGGAATATGGACAGGCCTGAAGAATGTGAGGTTTATTTCAGAACCCCGAGACTGAGCCGGCCTTTTTTGCTGTTCTTGCGCATGCAGACGGTGGTGAATTATAGAGGACTGTTGAGGGTATCAATTATTCAAACTCAGAGAATGGAAGAAAACATGGCAGAATGGTCTTAATTGTGGCTTTTACTTTTGAGTCATGATTGAATCGATACACAGCACAAATTGGTACTTTCTGACAGTAACAACCAACTCTACCATGTTAGAATCGGCCTCGCATATTTATTTCCTCTTTCCTATTGTCAGTGCTAAAGTGTAAGCCGTCCGCTCTTCTTTTGCTCATTACTCATGACTGGAATTTCAATCATTTGCCGACTGGGAAGTAATGAGTACACCGCATGGAGTAGACGAATCTGCCTGTTATGGCCTAATTTCTGACGGCTGGACAGCCTTTCATATCCATCCGGGTTCCAGCAGCAACAAGCATTTTTGCAGTTTTTCTGAATTTGAACAAACCATGTGGGAAAGGTTAAACTAGTGCTTTGGGTTTTTTAGTCGCTCTTGATACAGAGTTCAGCGTCTGTTTGTGACATTTGGGGTGTTTACTTGTTGTGGAGGAAGCTGCAGATAATTTGGTGAATCACTGTGTATTGTCAGGAATAATAACATGGCGTCTCCAGCATTAGTTCCATTCCTGCACCCTGTGGGCTGATTGGGAAAGAAGGACTGCGCTTGTACGGATGTTTGTGCTGCGTGAGACAGTTGTGTGGTGTGCGCGTTAGTGTTTGTTTGGTACAATGTCCATGTCTGTTTGTGTGTTTATTTACCGACGTGCCTGTACCGGGGGAGGGCACGTGTGCCGTTTAGTGAGGTGGAAATGTGGACCAGCTGTTTCCCCTTTAAAGAGAAACATGAGGTGCTCATTTCACTTAACATGCTTCCTCATTTCTGTCTAGTCTAGTCCTAGTCTCCTTCTTTCCTTCCTTTTCCTTTCCTTCCTAGATTTTCAAGAATTATTTTAACTGTAAACTGTACTGTTGCCATCTACTACCATCTATCCAAATCTTTGTTTTTGTTTTCCTTTTTACAGAAATAGAAACATTAAATTAATGTCACTGTCATTAA